TTCTGACGGCACCCATTCACTGCAGAGCATCCGTTGCTGAGACACTGATGCAACTTTAATTTAGAAGTTTAGTGCAGCTTTCACAGCTGGTCAAAGGTCACAAGGGCTCCGTTTGATCTGTTTCTAAAGATTATTTTACAGGAAACTGATGAATGAACACTTTTTTTAAAAACCATTAATCTCTCTGTTTTGTAGAGCGCACATCATGTTCCCCTCTGATGCCCGAGATTATCAGTTACTCATATAATAAATGTCAGCCGTGTATGGATATGAGAAGAACTGGAACGGTGTGTTTTGATGTGAACATTGAAAGCTATATGAAATGAACGTGATGGGAAATGAGAAGTCAGTATTATTCAGAGCTGGTGTTTTCTCTATGAAACGTCAGACTTACTCTTGAGATGTCGCACCGCGGTAATTTAGTCAGCCTTGCATGTCTGGGAGTACGTTTAGATGACGGATCAATACTTCCGAATTCATATTCCGTTTGAAAAGAAATGGGAAAATTCTGAACAAGAGGAGAACGCAAATAGCTCGTACTTTTAGCAGGTTATCAAATACAGTATATTATTAAATTGATTTTGAAGTCTTGTGTATATATTTATTCATCTTCACAGAAATGTGTTTGCGCTTGTGCTTCTCATATCGGAGCAAAATCTCCAATTTAAAAATCAACATAAAACAGAATTATTGCAAGTAAAAAAAAAAAAAAGGATACGTTTAGGTGAGGTCTTGATCTAATCCTGAAATGTTTGTTAAATACGTAAGCGTTTTTCTATAGCTTCAGAGCAGAGCAATTACATTTTAATGAAATATTATAAACAAAACTATTTTTATGTAATGTGCACTTATGAAACAACTCACAATAAGACCAAAAACATATATTCAGGAAATATTTACAAAAAATTTGCTAAAAATAAATATTTTTAACTAAAAATTTGATTTCATAGTTTTCGATAACATAACCTGACAGTCGATGGATAATGTTGAGTTTTAAGTCAATTTTACTTTGTTTTTTATAGTGCTGTCAAACTGACTAATTACATCCAAAATAGAAGTTTATATTTACATAATATGTGTGTGTACGGTGTATATTTAAGAAATATGTATATACACAGTACCATACATATATTATGTAAATACAACCTTTTGTTTTGAATGCGATTAATCGATTTGACCGCACTAGTTTTTTAACAATCCAGATCACGTTTCATATTACATATGCATTTGTGTAAAAACCGTTTGTATTAATTCAAATTTAACTATTCACTTTCTCCAAATGTTACACGATCTGCAAAGATCAAAGACGATACTAGCAATTATTTTTAATTTATTGGTTAATTATGGGATTTTGCTAAATTACAAGAAGTTTTAGTACGTCCTGGTATTAATATTCATGTGGTGGGCGTGGCCTGTTACGTCAACAGGTCGCTCGTTAAGAACGGTTGCGCTACAAACATCAAGGCCTCCCTCATTAATGTAAAATACTGAGAGTAAACTAGTTTTTTCCATTTTAATTACTTTGAATTGATACCGATATTTTCAAGCCCAGTATCACCGATACCGATACTTCTAAACTGATCTTTTAAATTATTAAAAGAATATAATCAGTAATTATACTCACTTAATATTAGATTTTAAAGCCATGTTTTTTAACTTTTAATAGGCCTTTTTTGTTTACACTGTCAGAAATAAAATATGCTATAATTGTATTTTATTTATTGATGTATTTATTGATTTATTAACAGCAATTACAGAACATAACACAATCCATTTGAACTTTTAACAACCAGTTTAAATAAATTTACATGCACAAACTAGCCAATTTAAAATAAATATTACATGTACACAAAACTTTGGGGGTCAGTAATATTTTGTAATGTTTTTTTGAAGTCTCGTGCTCACCAACAAACGCTGTCTGTGATTGATTGATTGATTGGTTCGGTCTTTCAGCATTTAATGTGTTCCGATGAGCAGGAGAATCTATCCAACACAATTATTCACTAATATAGTCTATTTTTCCACTTAGAAGCTTATTTTATGCACCGAATTTCTTGATAAATAAATACAATTAATGGTTAAAAAAATGCACATTTGAATCGATATTTTGATGTGAGGATCGATCCTATCGATACAACATCAGTATCGATACTTACGGATCGATCCGCCCATCCCTACTGGACACTACTCATCCAAAATATGGATATATATACGAATCATGAATCTTCGGATATATATATGAATCACAGTAAAAATACTGTCTTGGTTGGACTTGAGTATTTTGAAGTCAACTCTAACAATTTTTGTGTTTGACCAATTAGACACCTCAAAGTTCTAGGCTATATACAGTGGAGATAAAGATTAGAAAACAACCTATAATTTCCTAGATTTTCAGGTCACTGTTTAGTCCAGGGGTTCCCAACCATAGATAACATATAGGTAGATTCCCCATTCGACTGCGCTAAGCATGTAGACGCGTCTGCCAAATTTAACATCATTCACCATAATAATCAATGAATATTCGAAGATGCCACAATCCTGCACCGGTTGTAAAAATCGCCGGGATTTCAATTCCAGAAGAAACGGGATAACCTTTCACAGGTGAGAATGTGTTGGTTTGTGTTTTTTTAATGTATTAACTATATTTTGATGTGAGGATCGATCCTATCGATACAACATCAGTATCGATACTTACGGATCGATCCGCCCATCCCTACTGGACACTACTCATCCAAAATATGGATATATATACGAATCATGAATCTTCGGATATATATATGAATCACAGTAAAAATACTGTCTTGGTTGGACTTGAGTATTTTGAAGTCAACTCTAACAATTTTTGTGTTTGACCAATTAGACACCTCAAAGTTCTAGGCTATATACAGTGGAGATAAAGATTAGAAAACAACCTATAATTTCCTAGATTTTCAGGTCACTGTTTAGTCCAGGGGTTCCCAACCATAGATAACATATAGGTAGATTCCCCATTCGACTGCGCTAAGCATGTAGACGCGTCTGCCAAATTTAACATCATTCACCATAATAATCAATGAATATTCGAAGATGCCACAATCCTGCACCGGTTGTAAAAATCGCCGGGATTTCAATTCCAGAAGAAACGGGATAACCTTTCACAGGTCACAATATTACAAGTTTCGAAACATTGGTAACTTACGTTACTGTTATGGTGACTTTTCGATTATGGCAGCGGCCCATAGTAACAGTCGCTAATGAGGCATCTACGTATACATATCTATGTTCACAACCACATTCCTGGAGCCCCAACACTGCATGTTTTCCATGTCTCCTTAAAGGATTAGTTCACTTCCGGAGTAATAATGTCCTGATGATTTACTCAGCCCCATGTCATCCGAGATGTTCATGTCTTTCTGTCTTCAGTCGCAACGAAATGAAGGTTTTTGAGGAACACATTCCAGGGTTTTTCTCCTTATAATGGACTTCAATGGGGACCAACGTGCTGAAGGTCCAAATCACAGTTTCAGTGCAGCTTCAAAGAGCTCCACAGGATCCCAGCCGAGGAACAAGAGAAACCATCCGTCATTTCCGACAAAAAATAAACATTTATATACTTCTTAACCACAAAACCCATGGTTGGAAACCACTGACTTGGTCCTATTTGAAGTTATCCTAACAGGAGTACAAGGGCAGTTTTTTAATAAATGAATTGTATTCTGATGCACAGTATAAAAAACTTAAATGAGATATTTGAAAAAGAACTCTGATCAAAATTAGAGAACACTTACAGATATATTACATATGCATTTGTGTAAAAACCGTTTGTATTAATTCAAATTTAACTATTCACTTTCTCCAAATGTTACACGATCTGCAAATATCAAAGACGATACTAGCAATTATTTTTAATTTATTGGTTAATTATGGGATTTTGCTAAATTACAAGAAGTTTTAGTACGTCCTGGTATTAATATTCATGTGGTGGGCGTGGCCTGTTACGTCAACAGGTCGCTCGTTAAGAACGGTTGCGCTACAAACATCAAGGCCTCCCTCATTAATGTAAAATACTGAGAGTAAACTAGTTTTTTCCATTTTAATTACTTTGAATTGATACCGATATTTTCAAGCCCAGTATCACCGATACCGATACTTCTAAACTGATCTTTTAAATTATTAAAAGAATATAATCAGTAATTATACTCACTTAATATTAGATTTTAAAGCCATGTTTTTTAACTTTTAATAGGCCTTTTTTGTTTACACTGTCAGAAATAAAATATGCTATAATTGTATTTTATTTATTGATGTATTTATTGATTTATTAACAGCAATTACAGAACATAACACAATCCATTTGAACTTTTAACAACCAGTTTAAATAAATTTACATGCACAAACTAGCCAATTTAAAATAAATATTACATGTACACAAAACTTTGGGGGTCAGTAATATTTTGTAATGTTTTTTTGAAGTCTCGTGCTCACCAACAAACGCTGTCTGTGATTGATTGATTGATTGGTTCGGTCTTTCAGCATTTAATGTGTTCCGATGAGCAGGAGAATCTATCCAACACAATTATTCACTAATATAGTCTATTTTTCCACTTAGAAGCTTATTTTATGCACCGAATTTCTTGATAAATAAATACAATTAATGGTTAAAAAAATGCACATTTGAATCGATATTTTGATGTGAGGATCGATCCTATCGATACAACATCAGTATCGATACTTACGGATCGATCCGCCCATCCCTACTGGACACTACTCGTCCAAAATATGGATATATATACGAATCATGAATCTTCGGATATATATATGAATCACAGTAAAAATACTGTCTTGGTTGGACTTGAGTATTTTGAAGTCAACTCTAACAATTTTTGTGTTTGACCAATTAGACACCTCAAAGTTCTAGGCTATATACAGTGGAGATAAAGATTAGAAAACAACCTATAATTTCCTAGATTTTCAGGTCACTGTTTAGTCCAGGGGTTCCCAACCATAGATAACATATAGGTAGATTCCCCATTCGACTGCGCTAAGCATGTAGACGCGTCTGCCAAATTTAACATCATTCACCATAATAATCAATGAATATTCGAAGATGCCACAATCCTGCACCGGTTGTAAAAATCGCCGGGATTTCAATTCCAGAAGAAACGGGATAACCTTTCACAGGTCACAATATTACAAGTTTCGAAACATTGGTAACTTACGTTACTGTTATGGTGACTTTTCGATTATGGCAGCGGCCCATAGTAACAGTCGCTAATGAGGCATCTACGTATACATATCTATGTTCACAACCACATTCCTGGAGCCCCAACACTGCATGTTTTCCATGTCTCCTTAAAGGATTAGTTCACTTCCGGAGTAATAATGTCCTGATGATTTACTCAGCCCCATGTCATCCGAGATGTTCATGTCTTTCTGTCTTCAGTCGCAACGAAATGAAGGTTTTTGAGGAACACATTCCAGGGTTTTTCTCCTTATAATGGACTTCAATGGGGACCAACGTGTGCTGAAGGTCCAAATCACAGTTTCAGTGCAGCTTCAAAGAGCTCCACAGGATCCCAGCCGAGGAACAAGAGAAACCATCCGTCATTTCCGACAAAAAATAAACATTTATATACTTCTTAACCACAAAACCCATGGTTGGAAACCACTGACTTGGTCCTATTTGAAGTTATCCTAACAGGAGTACAAGGGCAGTTTTTTAATAAATGAATTGTATTCTGATGCACAGTATAAAAAACTTAAATGAGATATTTGAAAAAGAACTCTGATCAAAATTAGAGAACACTTACAGATACCTCCAGGTTATTGGCGTCAATCTGGCATCTGCTGCTAATTTCCTTAATTATCGTTTCAAATCTGTGATTTGTAAAATATTGCAACGACACTAATTCATTCAAGTCCGCCAAAAAGGCTGGCCGTCCACGTAAGACAAATGCACGAGAAGACAGGATAATGCATAGACTCAATAGGGAATCGGTTCAGCACTGCAGCTGGAATTGCTCATCAGTTCAGCACTGAACAGGGTACGGATCTGTCTCTTCACGTTTAAGAGAAGTCGGACTGAAAGCGCACTCTGCAGTGATCAAGCCTCTCATCAGCAGAAATAATCACAAGGCTAGGCTCACTTTTTCTGAGAAGCATGTTGTGTGGAGAGAGAAGAACTGGTGCAAAGTTCACTTTAGTGATGAGAGCAAGTTTTATTTTAGACAATGCCCCTCCAAAATGTTAGTCGTAATCTTTTGTGCTGCAGTGGTTACTGTTCTCTAATTTTGATCACTGTGTTTTCCACAAAATAAAGGTTTTTTGTTCAAATTCTTTGGTTATTTTGTCAAACATGTTAGTGGTATTCCCACAGCTAATATTCCTTCAAATTTTGAGCGATGATGAACAATATTTCAGAAAAAAAATCAAGTATTCTCTAATTTCTAGAGCCCGACCAATATGGGTTTTTTGGGGGCCGATACCGATATTAGTGAGTAAAAAAAGAGATATTGCTCATATCGGCCGATAATATCGGCTAAACGATATATCGGTCGGGCTCTACTAATTTCCACGGTATTTAACAGTAAACATGAACTACTCTCCTTCATTCATCTTTCTCAAAAACATAAAATAATTTCAGCTTTTCTAGTTGCGTCCCTTGCAAAGCATGCTGAAAACGAGAAATTCCCTATTTCTATTTGTACACACAAAATGAAGATGACAAAACTGTTTTGCATTAGCTCATTTAAATTTAAGCAAATTGAGCAAGCAGCAAAAACGCATTTGTCTAAAAGAGAGCAGTTTGCATAAGAATGATTATGCAAAATCCCTTTAATGCTTCATACAGTCGAGCCAACAAATGAAGAGTTTTACCTGCTGCTCTGCTACAGTTTTCTTTAGAATTTCAGCATTTCTTTAAAATTTGCTTTTTTTTCCTTTTCAGGAAACTTTCTTCTGTAAAATTATTGAAGAATTTCTTGCAGGTGTCATTTTTGAATCCGATGTGAATACTATTACAGAACTTTACTGTAACAGAACATTTATGGACTACATTTTATTTAGAGCTTTTGTCACTGTACGAAAAAGTGATTATTTTTATGAACCGCGTTTTGGCAAAGTTTGAGTAGAAACAGGCATTGGGTTTGAAATTAACGCACTGAACCGTGCTATACTTTCTGGCACGTTGTCCGAAAGCGACAGAGAAGCGAACTCATGATATTCTAGCAGCACGAGAAAAGGCATGCAAGACCAAAAGCACTTCGAGTCGTGTCGTCGCACACGATCAACACATCGACCCAACTATCCAATAGCGAAGAGCTGTCTGTAGTCCAGGCACGAGGACAGAAGAAAAACCAAACCAAACCAAAGCTCTTCTGTAGGAACCAAAACGCAAATCAACTCTTTTCTACAAAAACCATTACGAGTAAATTACATAATCTCAGAAATAATTCTTCAGCTGTAGAAAATCTTTAGTAACTGGTCGTTACGCTTAAAAAGGTGACTTTCACAGATTGCACACGTAAATATAAACCAACATCACGATTATCAGAAACTTGGACGCGTAAGACGGAATCTCTTCAATTGAGCGGCAACGATCAGGATGGTTTCTACGTTCATTAAAATTAAGATTCATAATACATTTCGATAAAAAAGATGCATAAAACATACATGAAACAGCTTCTGCGCACAGTCACACATTGAAAATAACGTCAGTAGTGAAGAAAATAATGCTTTTCAGTTTCCAACCTACAATTTTCCAGTGTTTTCCACAATAGTACAGCAGTTGACAGGTCAAGTACAAAAATTATGCGCAAGTTAGTCGCACTCCACACCAATCTGAAACCAAAACAGCCGACTTCACCCTTAACTTTACGAACGGATGCGGTGATCTCCAGAAGAGGATTGAACATTTCCCATTTCACAAGTAATTAAACAGCAAACAAACTAAACAAATCCCTAAACTCGCATCTATACATGCAGATTTAAAAAAATTATAAAATCAAAAGGTCTTGTACATGAAAGAAATGGTTTGTAAAATAATTAACGGAAATGTTTTCATACTGAAATCTGCTTGTTTGGGAATGGGACCCAATGTTTAACCCATAGACTGTATAAAAACATGGACGTAGTGTCCGTGACGTCACCCGTAGGAGTGGTATTGAAGCTCAAAGTGGGCGGAGCTGGCCGTCGCCATCTTGGCAGCGTGCGTAACTCCCGGATAATCGAAAATGGGCAAAGAGGCGGGAGCTGGTTGCTGAAGCCACGCCCACCTAGCTCGACGGCCAGTGACCGCAGCGGCAATCCACCTGCCACTCAAGTGGCCACGCCCTTAATTCTGCAGAACTTTAAGGCTTAATATAATTTAAACGGATGAGTTATATAAAAATTCACCCCCCTCACAGTTGTCATGAAGGGCAAAATTAGCTATATAGACCAAAACCACTTTTTGTACCAGGCTGTAAACATGTTTTTTCCTGCTGTAAAGTTGGGCATTTTAACATGCGGAGTCTATGGGACTGACTCCCTTTTGCAGCCAGCCTCTAGCGGCCAGTCGATGAATTACAGTTTTAGTCACTTCCGTATTGGTTTCACGAGAGAGACCGGAAGGTTGCCGCTTGGTTTAAACTCTTTAACGCCGTATATATATTTATCAACTTTTGGTCCACCAATCGTGATGTGGAGGGCAGCCGATGTGAACTTAAAACAAGAACATGTGGGTCAGCAAAGAGGAGACACAATCCCATCAGGACTTGTGACTAAGACCGGCAGCGCCGGCGTGAGGTAGGGTGACGCAAAACACACCACGACAAAACAACTCGACCAAATCCACGCTTTTGCACACATAACTTCACCTGATTCCAGAGGCGAAGGAACGAACGGGCCTTGACGTTGCAGTAAGTGAGCGACAGACACGTTCTAGCAAACCATGACCCTGAATTTTCATGTAGGTGCTCAGTGTCAGATCACAAATCCAGCCACGTGTCCACCGTGATAAATCGGGTGGCAGATGTTTACGCAAGACTATGAATATTCTCTGTACAAACATGAGCGGCCTCCTCGGTGTCGCTTCACCGGTTCAGACGAAATGAAAAGCTGTTGTTTGTGTTAAGGCACTAAGATGAACCCGAGGTACATAAAATCCCTGACATTCGCTCTGTTCTGCAACATCGCACCGGCGCGAGAGGCAACGAAGCTTTGAAATGGCCCGAGACAGCCTGTTATCTCTCACACTTGTGTTTTTGGTCCAATCGGTAAAACTCCCAAGACCCACAACACCAGTTCGTACATGCAGAGTATATGTACACTGACGAGACAAAAAACTCCTTTTTAGCTACCAAACGACTAAATCTACAAACCGAAGGCAATTGGAAACACTCGGACTGATGAAAAGGCAAGCTCATTACGTTCGGTACAAGTTGTCTAGCCTGCTTCGATTATAGCAGCAGTTAGCACTCCCTAACCAAACAGCAAGCAACATTTGGCCCATTACATGTTCTAAACAAAACTGTAAACAATGACCAGTACAGTAATAGAGAAGTGATAAATATCGACTAGGCGAATGGAACGTAACTAGTGGCTTGGATTTGAGTTCTGGCTCATTCAGAAATGTTTTCTATTAACATCAGGGCTTTAAAATGTTACAATCAGCATCTCGTCACATCATAAAGTTGATATACTATCAACAGATGATCCCACTGTGTCGTGGAGATCCATTTTCGCTTTTAAGAATGGATGCCTGGGAGACAGATGGTACTGAAAGAGATAGAAAGCGCAGACGGGGGATAAGAGCGAAACGGACGGACTTTCAGACCGAGGCGTACGTGTTTCCCACGCTGCCGCAGTGGCGGATGGTGCTGGTTCCGCTCGAGCTGAGGATGTGCTCGGTGTGATTGCCGGCGGTCGAGGGCAAAGCGCTGAGCATGCTGGGTTGAACCACGCCCACCACCGCGCTGCTGCCGTCCTCCATGGCTCCCACCTGCAGCACCTGGATGACCTCCGTCTCCGCTTTCTCCCGCTTGGCCAGAGGCTCGTCAGACTCCTCCATGTCCTCGTCCAAATCGCTGTCCATCTCGCTCACCTCGTCTAGCAGACATCAGAATGAGACGTGGCAATTAAAAAAGGAAATGGCATTCACAACCCGTTTCACGTTAGTAATGCAATTTTTCATTTTTGGGATCGTTCACCCAAAAATGAAAACTAAGGCTACGTTCAACACTGCGAGTCTTAGTGCTCGATTCCGATTTTTTTGTGTAGCTGTTCACATTGTTGTTTTAAACGTGGCCAATATCAGATTTCAAGTGTGAATGGATCATGATTCTGAACTGACCCCCGCATGCGCAAAAGAACGATACGAACACGTTTTCCAGGTTTACACAACAAAATCCGCCCAACCCGCGGAATCAGAGGAAAAAGTAGCCTAATTCCACGGGGGAACTGTGGATCTGGCAACACTTGCGCAGCGCGCCGTCATACGGAAGTAAGCGCGGAGGATATAAAGTAAGCAATTATGCGTTTATTTATAGTGTGATCTGCTGCAGAAGCCAGCGAAATTATGCACAGGCAATATGAAAAAAATAAAGACAAGGATGTGACAAAAGAAAGCAGAGTTTTGAAACTTTCATGATACGAGCCCTCATGTTTTGCTTGTAGAGATGACACAGTAATACACACGAGTTCTGACACATCACTGTACTTCCACTGATTAACTTTCGCTACGGTCTTGATAACTTTGGGTATGTAAAATCTTTGAAGTGTCTCCCGTCAGTGCGGAATTATGACGAATGTCGCTCTAGAGTGACCTTCTTTCTTTTTTGGACCACAAAAGGATTCTTTTTTTTTAAATGTCCTGCGTGCTTGTCTGTATAATGGCAGTGTATGGCGATCAACATCAAGCTTTTTAAAAAAAAGACGCAAAATTATACACGTGCCGTATATTCTGTATAAGTGTTCGGGGGTTATACGATAGGGTTTGGTGAAAAACAAACCAAAATGTACTTGACCGTTGGAAAAGTTTGCCAAAGCCTATCGGTTCCCCCCCTGAACACTTGGAATATACAGCACGTGCTGCACGGGACCACTCTGTGATACTTTTGCGTCTTTTTTAAATATCTTGATCCTCATCGCTATATACTGCCACTGTATGGATGAGCGCGTGTGGGACATTTATTTTTTTATTTTAAATCTCATTTTGTGGTCTGAAAAAGAAAGCGCATACAGCATTAATACAACACAAGAGTGAGTAAATATTAAATATATTTTTTGGTGAAATATCCTTTAAACAAGAAAGAAAATGTTGGGCAATGCAGCTTGATTTTATCCATCAAAATAAAAATGGACAACCTATTCTACAATGGACCACCAGCATGGTCTCTATTAGTCAGAAGGACATGAGTTTAAGAAAATTAAGAGGGATTGGTGATACCAGCCATAAAGGAGATTATAACGCGCAATGATGAATCATACCAAAAATTGCCTCATGATGGAGGAACACAAACAGTACAGCGTTCGTACAGTAATGACTCATCCAGCAATCCAGTCTCTCAAAGGAAAGCAACTAAATCGGAGTCCCCTACTGGTCTAAAGTGGCTGGGCTTGTTAGTCTGGACTGTAATTACGTAACTCTGGGTGTAATGAGATCTCAGCTTGTAGTCTGAGCTTTGGCGGGCTTACCTTTGTCAATGTTGGCAGGTGACATGGTATTCAGGTCCTGAAACTGCGATAGATGGAGCAGCACAAAGAAATGGCAATTAGAGAGAAAGACTGACTTCATGGCTTTTTACAGCTCATGCTGAGCTACACAAACAGTCTTTACCTCTCCCATAACTCCGATGGGCGTCTCTCCCGTCGCCTGTGCGACGCGGTGCTCCACCAGATAGAACATGTACTCGTCGTACAGCAGCCGGATCAAGTGGAAAGAGCCGAAACTCGCAGCGCTGCGGAGGGTCAAGTCTCTGATGACCATAGAGCTGTAAGTACATGCAAGTACAAATTACAGTCGACACTTCGATCGTAAGGTTATAGGAGAGATTCTGGTGTGGATGCCAGAGTTTGGTTCATTTGGTTGTTCTAAGGATCTCGGAGATCCCAGTGTGGTTTCAATCTACACAAATTGATCCAAGTGTGAAAAGTCTTGCCTGTAGAAGGACCACTTGAGCAGGAACTGGCGTGCAGCTTTGGGGAGGGTGGGTTTATCCTCGTACGGCTTGAGCATTTGAGTGACCACGTTATCCAGCCAAGCTGCCCACTGTTCCAAGGAGCTCTGCTGCTGGAGGGTGGCCTTGAAGTCCTGCTCGAGGCGTTGAACCAAGCCCTCTTCACACTGGCACACCCACGAGGCCTGCTCCTGTAGGTCATCAACAATGAGTCGGAACATCACTACAGTGGATCTTCTAATTGACATTGTAAGGCTGGAATAGGCTACAAAAATTTTGCAGAGCCAGTCTGCAGATTTTGGGTAATTGAAAGTTGACAGATTTCACAGAAAACTGCGTAGTGCATGATGGGCGAAGACTCAAACATGCTTGAAATTTTGAGCTGATTTTAGAACACATGGTTTTCATTTTTCATGCATCTCTTAGAAACGAGGCGGACGTTTCTGCGTGAGTTTGTTCAGGGCTCCAGACTGCGACCAAACTTCTTTTTTTTTCTTCTGCCGGTGGGACTACATTTTGTGAGATCCAGAGAGAAGCATTCCAATTCTGCACAGAATTCTCTGTTATAAACAGATCAAACAGCGCTGACGTAGACAACCAGAAGTAGTAAGGATAACTATAACCATTGTGTTGTGGCAGAAATAGTCAAATGTTATTACATTATTCATGTCAGGGTTTGTACAACCTTTTGAGAGAGAAATTCAAGTATTTCACACAACTATTTCCAGCACTTTAAATCTCTAAAAATGATCCAATTTAAATGTTATTTTTAATGGGATGACCAAATTATACATTGTGATAAATAAACACATTTAAAAATGCATCAAATTACCACTATAACCAGTAGATGGCAGCACTAATTGGCTTATTAGTCATCCCTTTCCACTTTCTTGCTTCATATTACGATATTATAAAAATAACTATTATTTTAAAAAATCGAATCGAAAAGAGTTTTGCTCTTTTTTTGTGTATGAAGTAAGAAGTCACAAAGTGCCTTGAAAATCAAACTTTTCTTCAATTTGCGACCGAATCACACAAAGCAAGTAAAGAGCGCTCCTTTTATAATCACTGAAGTTGTCGGTCAGTTCAGTGTAATATTATATAAGAATAACAGCACATTTAATAAGAGTAGAATATATACATTTTTCTTATAAAAAATGCACGTTACTGTTGTTAATAAAAGTACATTTTGCATGCTTCCCAACACAAGCTCAGTGCTTTACTGTATTACCAAGAAATAAACGTGTAATACTATTAGTAACTGCACCTATTAATGCAAAACCGTTTTTAATACCCGCCCCCAAATGGCCAGCTTTTTCCTGTTAAAGGGATAGTTCACCCAAAAATGAAAATGTGATGTTTATCCGCTTACCCCCAGGGCATCCCAGATGTAGGGGACTTTGTTTCTTCAGTAGAACACAAACTGAGATTTTTAACTCAAACCGTTGCAGTCTGTCAGTCTTATAATGTAAGTGGATGGGAATCACGGCTTTGAGAGTCAAAAAAACCATACACAAACAAAACCGAATTAAACCCTGCGGCTCGTGACGATACATTGATGTGTAAAGACGCGAAACGATCGGCCTGTGCAAGAAACTGAACAGTATTTATATTGTTTTTTACCTCTGATTCACGCAATGTCCAAACTGTTTGAACTGTCCTGAGCGGCGGTGCGTCCTCCTGAGCGCGTTCTCAACAGCCGGCGTGTGACGCGTCGTCGTCGTCTTCTTCTTCTTGCATTACCGCCACCAATCTCTCAAATGGACCATTGACACTCCTAATTGAGATTGTAGATAGAGTGTCAATGGTCCATTTGAGAGAAAGGTGGCGGTAATGCACTTATAAGTCTGCGATCCGCCGTAAAGCAAGAAGACGGAAGCCGTGATTCCCATCCACTTCCATTATACGACTGACAGACTGCAACGGTTTGAGTTAAAAATCTCAGTTTGTGTTCTACTGAAGAAACAAAGTCACCTACATCTGGGATGCCCTGGGGGTAAGCAGATAAACATCACATTTTCATTTTTGGGTGAACTATCCCTTTAAGAATGGATGCCACAATGTGCACAACAAACCTGCACATTGGCAAAGTCAACCCGGTTGAGATCGCTGAGCATCTGGTTGATCTGGGAGGTGTTCTGCAGCACTGCACGAGCCGCCTGCGCCAGATGATTCAGAGACGTGTACCTGCGGAGCGTCTGAGCGAAGGCACTAACAGCGGAAACCTGCCAAACAAAGGATGAACTCTTTGGGATTTCTATGGCGGACAAAGGCGTTCATTATCAACTTGTGTAGACTGTGGGAATGCAATAAAACAGCTGGTAACCCTCTGCGCTCTTACCTTGGTCTGGATCATCCTCTGGGGGATGCTGCTCATGGCGTTGGTGAGCCAGCCCTCAAGGTTTTTGGCAAAATTACGGATGGCTTGAGTCAAGGCACCTGTCGAACGCAGATTTAGATTTACACAGAATAGGTATGTGATGGTCCATAATGATCTGTGCCTTCTGAGGCTATGACTATAAAGAGAGACTCACTAGGAATGGGTCTCAGAACATCAGGGATGAGGATCTCCACGAGGGCCTGATACATCAGGTGATCACAGGTGTTCATCCACTTTAGCACTGCCTCGTTTCGGCAGAGCAGAATCAGTGTGGTCCGCGGCAGGCGGCCCTCGATCTCGCTCATACCACTGAATCAAAATTAATCATATTACTTGTTTGATCTAATAAACTTGATGAAGCACCAAAGAGGTAGGTAACGAGTAACACACCTGTTTTCTGTGATGGTGGCGCCCTCTACGGAGCTGGATGGAGAATAGCGCCAGAAAGTCTGCCACAAGTTCTCGATGAGATTGAACTGAAGGTTCACCACTACGTCCAAAATGGCCTACGTGTGAAAATGGGGACAACTAGGGGGGTGCGATATTGATAAGGACTGCCGTGGACAGCCGACTCCTAATGTTTTTAATATTCTTCATATTCTGTGCGGTGGTCAGTTCACACTGAGAGAAATTAATCTTTCCAATAAGTTTAAACTTATTTTTTACGTTTTATGGGCATTTTTACCTTTATAAAGCCATTTTTTCTATAAGTGTGCATTATCTTTTGAGTGAAATTCTTACATTTAATCAGAGAATTAGAATAATAAGACATCGAGCAAATGAAATCAACACAGAAGCTGCGTCTGAAGAGGCATTTAGATGTGTTTACACACCGTTTAATGCAAGACATGAATGCATTTAACCTGCAGTTACAAATGCATAAATAATGTTTTGATATATTAAACATAAAATATTGAATACTGATATTTGAAATGATTTAAATAATAAAAGCACTTTGAATGTGAAATTAAAACCACCAGTAGGTGGCAGCAAGTCACTGTTAATAAGCGAGTCATTGCGACTGAATCGAAGCATTTAAATGTTTGATTCATTCAGGAACGAATCACCGTCATGTTGCTCAAAGACGCAAAACAGCGTTGTGGCTTTGTTTGGAATTATTTTTGTTGGCAAAAACAGGCAATATAGTGTCTAAAACGTAGGTCTCTTAATTAACTTGTAAAAAAAATCAATATCACATTTGTAATCATGGTAATATTTGGAGAAAAACGGCATTCGTCGTGTAAAATTGATTATTAACTATATGAAATGGTATAAATATATATATTTTTTTGCCATCATGTCTTGAATTTGTGATTATTCTAAATGCATTTTAATAGACTGAATCATGCAGTGAAAGAACGCACTCTAAATGCGCAGATTTCACGTAATGTAGGGCTGTTTTGAATGGTTTTTGCAAAATACTCGATAATGACAAATCGCACATCGCTAAAACCACAATTACGATATTATCGCAGACGATATATATCGCACACGCCTAGTGACAACGCCTTTAAACTTGAACTCAATAAGCTGAGAATTGGACCGTAACGATGTCCTAAACGACTGACCTCGCAGTGCTCTCTGTACAGCGTCTGAAGGGCTTTGACGTCTTCTGGACCGACGCCTTCCACAGGCTCTCCGAGGTCAAGTTCGACGAACTCTGGAAGAGCTCTGGACCCGTCTAAATGGGGCATACAGGGGAAATTCAGTAAAGCTCTTCTGAAACATGAATGCGAGCTAATGGTCTCCAGTGATTTACCCAGGAACTGCTGATGGTGCTGGCTTTGAGCGATGAACGTCTGCTCTGCAGCGTTGGGTGTGGGCTGCCCCCCGGCGGAGAAGTTCTCCCCCGAAACGCCGTCCAACTTCGGTACTGGCTTGAATCTACAGAAGGGCGAACAAGAGATGAGCTCTGTTTCAAAACGAAATGAGAAATTGGCAGCAACAGACTTCATTTCCGTTTATGCATACAATGTGACTTGCATTGCATTTAAGGTATACATTTGATCAGTTCATGCATTTCCTGGGAATCGCAAGCGCCATGCTCTTCTGTCGTGAGAACAGCGCTACAGATATCTTTCGTGCGGTTTGACCGAGACGACAGTACCTCTGCTTCTGTTGGACGGGCTGCTGTCTCAGTGCCATGTACTGCATGTCCTCCTGCAACCGGTTCAGAGGAGAGTCCGGCTTCACGCGAATCCCGTAATAGTGATATTTAGAGTTCCCTCTAAATTCAAGGTGAGAAAACGAGTCTGCTGTGACTCAATGCAGCTGTGGAGAGTACAGGACAGAACTGAGCATGTGTCAATGAGAGGAGAGGTGCGGAATTGCTGATTTTACCGGGTGCCCAAGCGGCGGGTGCGCAGCCCCATGAAGATGGAGCGGATGAGCTTCCCGAAAGACGCAGCGTTGACCGGGTCCAGTTTCTGCTCCTGACAGTGGCGCAGGTAGTGATTGTAGAGGGTGGAGCGCGGCAGACTCACGCCCTCTGCGGTCTCGTAATTATCCAGGAGCCATTGCAGCTGTGGAGAACAGCTAAATTCGTCAGCTAGATTCTCAAAGTTGACATTTCTTTACAACCCTCTGGGCCTCTTCGTTTGGGAGTCATACTTGGCTCCTTTGCGGTCTCAACAAAAAGTAAAAAAAAAAATTTTCTTCGGGAAAATCAAATCTAATACATTTTTGTTCAATAATATTTTTTTATTCTTATTTATGATTTTGAGGGAATTTTATGATTCTATGCAATATTTATACAATTTTAATGAGCTATTTTTTCCATTATAAAATTTTCTTTTTAATTTAATTTCTGTATTATGTTTGAATAAATACAACATTTCGCATTAAAATAGAGTGAAGGCATTTAAAATCCATTTTTTGAAGTGAGAATTGTGCCATATGGAGGCGTTAAAAAATAAAAACTTGTGTAATGTTGCGTAAAATCCTGCATAGCTCCCTATATCAATATATAGAGGCTTTTGGAATTCCATTGTTTTTTTAGACATAATTTCTTCTATCAAAACTTAATGTTTGATTAGTAATATGCATTGCTAAGAACTTAATTTGGACAACTTTAAAGATGATTTTCTCAATATTTAGATTTTTTTGCACCCTCAGATTCCAGATTTACAAATATTGTCCGATCCTAACAAACCATACATCAATGGAAAGCTTATTCGTTCAGCTTTCAGATAGATGTATACATCTCAATTTAGAAAATTGTTTCCTGAGCTCAGTTTTGAGCTCCAGGGTCACACATAATTGTACAAATTGACCATTCATTTTAATTAATAAATTAGATTGAAGTATTTGATTTTGAAGTGTGTTTTAGGCTCTCATAGATGGCTCTCATTAAAAATGACCCAGAGGAAAATATTAGCTCTTAATTTCTAAAAATCAGTTTTTGGCTTTAATCATTCCAAGCACTTATCAGAGTAAGTTCAGTATGTTTTTGAGCCCTCAAACACTGGGAATGACGTGTGCGTCTGTGATTGGAGCTCACCGTGGCGGGGGAGGCTCTAGTGGCCTGAGCCGCGCTGTGAGGGGCGGAGCCATCCATGGAGTTTCCTCCAATCAGATACGCTCCTGAGCTGCTGATGATCTGGCCTCCTGACAGCCCCATGGCCAGGACGCCGTTCCCGTTGTTTCGCTGCATGCACACAACAAACACTGACCTAAAAGTAAAACGTACCCATCATCAAATAGGCTCCTAATATACACCAATTACATAAAAGAATAAAACCTTATGCTACTTGACGTTGGTGTCTCTGTCTCCTCGTGCATCTTCAGACTTTGTGTTTGAGATGGTGGAACAAACTGGAAGTGTTTATATAATAATTATTATTATATTTTAAAGAAAACGGCAGGGTGGCCTGGTAACATGCAGGGGGCCTATAACTATTATAAATCATTAGAAAGGTTTAAGGTTTTATTATAAAATTATGTGACGGTAATTTCTTAATTCAGGAAATCTCATGCATCCACTGAGACACACACACACACACACACAAAAAAAACATGTACTTTTCTCTACACTTGAGACTTTTTTCCTATCTTTACCCAAAATCGGGTGTTATGAGCATTATTGAGTACACGCATGTCATGTAATGTCTGTTTCATTCATACAGAAGTAATAGAACTCGCGACGCTCCAGGAAATGCCTTATATGGACAAAAGTGTCCAGCTATCGCTGTTACTGAATTAAAAGAAGATAGAAACGCTTGAAATGATTAATTATTATTTCTGCCTCATTCTGTCAAATGAAACCACGTCGGATCACAAAAAGAAGTTATTTCAAACACTCGGCTGATGTTATGAAGTGAATTTGGAGTAAAAACTAATGTGCGGCAAACATAAATATGTCATCAACTAGGCTTTATCGTTATTATCGCGGGAAGACTAATTCTTATAGCAGGGAAACAACAGTACGTTAGATTTACCATGCTTTCACCGAGATTCAAACAGAAATTAAGAGATTAAGTTGGTCAAAAAAAAGATGTCAAATTTGCGGTTTGCATTAGAAACACCCACACTATTTAATGCCAAAGTAATAAAACACAAACTATAGTGTTATAAATGCACAAAAAATATTTAAAAAAAAACTGTAAACCCAGATTTACAATGTTAATAACTGTGGAAATGTCTTTAAAGTCTGTAAAAAGGATCCATAAACTCCTATAAAACAATTACTGACTGATTTTTCTTTTATAAATACAATTTAGGCAAAACTTCTCTGGCTTTTTCAATTTTTTTATGAATACATTTTTTATTATAGTTTTTAAATGTAAAAAAAACTCTAAGACGCAGTAAGTGAGTCATTCGTTACTGATCTAAACGTACGAGTTTGATTCTTTTCGACTGATTCATTACAAGCACGGCTCATTCATTCGTGAACTGGATTACACTTGTCTCGTATGTTTGTTGTAGTTTCCTGCTGACAAATACAATAGAGATGTGTAGGAAGCTCCATCTACCACAGCATCACCTCGAAGGAATAGTTCACCCAAAAAACACAATTCTCACACTGATGCTTGAGTCGATCAGAGGCAGCATGTTTCAGTGACAGGACAGAGCTGGAGTGCACTAAATCAGTTTTTTGCTACTAAACACAATCACGTGACTTCGTCACAATCATGTAACCCTTGTTCGGTTTCATCCACGACAGTATGAGGGACTAATTCTGATGCACTTGTCAGCATGTGCGCTTATTACAAAGCCACGGTTTTGAGATGCATCTTAAAAATCACATCAGAGAGCGTGTATTCATGGCTCATAAAAACACTCACATGGTTCCGTTGGTGTAAACGCTGTTGTTTTCCTCCTGAACGTACTGCACCTGTGCTTGATACACATGCTGGACCTGTTGAACAGTCTGCGCCTGAAACACACGGCACAATTACACCGACAATATGGACCTCAAACTATATCACGATATTTTCCGGTATTTATTGCGATAATATCAATGACGATATAAATACAGTACAGTTCAAGTGATCGCTGCATGCACACAACAAACACTGACCTAAAAGTAAAACGTACCCATCATCAAATAGGCTCCTAATATACACCAATTACATAAAAGAATAAAACCTTATGCTACTTGACGTTGGTGTCTCTGTCTCCTCGTGCATCTTCAGACTTTGTGTTTGAGATGGTGGAACAAACTGGAAGTGTTTATATAATAATAATTATTATTATTATATTTTAAAGAAAACGGCAGGGTGGCCTGGTAACATGCAGGGGCCTATAACTATTATAAATCATTAGAAAGGTTTAAGGTTTTATTATAAAATTATGTGACGGTAATTTCTTAATTCAGGAAATCTCATGCATCCACTGAGACACACACACACACACACAAAAAAAACATGCACTTTTCTCTACACTTGAGACTTTTTTCCTATCTTTACCCAAAATCGGGTGTTATGAGCATTATTGAGTACACGCATGTCATGTAATGTCTGTTTCATTCATACAGAAGTAATAGAACTCGCGACGCTCCAGGAAATCCCTTATATGGACAAAAGTGTCCAGCTATCGCTGTTACTGAATTAAAAGATAGAAACGCTTGAAATGATTAATTATTATTTCTGCCTCATTCTGTCAAATGAAACCACGTCGGATCACAAAAAGAAGTTATTTCAAACACTCGGCTGATGTTATGAAGTGAATTTGGAGTAAAAACTAATGTGCGGCACACATAAATATGTCATCAACTAGGCTTTATCGTTATTATCGCGGGAAGACTAATTCTTATAGCAGGGAAACAACAGTACGTTAGATTTACCATGCTTTCACCGAGATTCAAACAGAAATTAAGAGATTAAGTTGGTCAAAAAAAAGATGTCAAATTTGCGGTTTGCATTAGAAACACCCACACTATTTAATGCCAAAGTAATAAAACACAAACTATAGTGTTATAAATGCACAAAAAATATTTTAAAAAAAACTGTAAACCCAGATTTACAATGTTAATAACTGTGGAAATGTCTTTAAAGTCTGTAAAAAGGATCCATAAACTCCTATAAAACAATTACTGACTGATTTTTCTTTTATAAATACGATTTAGGCAAAACTTCTCTGGCTTTTTCAATTTTTTTATGAATAAATTTTTTATTATAGTTTTTAAATGTAAAAAAACCTCTAAGACGCAGTAAGTGAGTCATTCGTTACTGATCTAAACGTACGAGTTTGATTCTTTTCGACTGATTCATTACAAGCACGGCTCATTCATTCGTGAACTGGATTACACTTGTCTCATATGTTTGTTGTAGTTTCCTGCTGACAAATACAATAGAGATGTGTAGGAAGCTCCATCTACCACAGCATCACCTCGAAGGAATAGTTCACCCAAACATGATAATTTGCTGAAAATTATCCACAATATTATGCAGAGAGGACTCTTATTTTAGCCGTAAGTAACGCCTTGATGTATTTGTTTCAGCTTTTCTCTTCTCCAGATGTTAACTGTTGGATTGGAGATTACTTGTGAATGGGTACCATCAGAATGAGAGTCCAAACAAATGATAAAAACATCAAACACGAGTCCATAATCCATAATAACTCTTCCTCCAGTGAAAAAGTCTATCTGCTGTTGTCTCTCACATCAAACTCCAGCCACATATGTGTTTAGAGCTGTTTAAACGCTGCTTGATCTGTGCAGATTTCTCTCCTGATTCACACCAGAACACTGACTCACTGGAGGAAGAGTTATTATGGATTATATAGTCGCATTTTAGTTAAAAAGGTCTTAATGCTGGATAAGTTTCAGCTTTTGTCTTCTCCAAACATGTACGTCAGAATGGTTTGCATGGGTTTTTCTTGCTCCCGCTGCATGTGAGCCGTGATGCGGCATGTAAACAAGCCGTGTTTGAGCAGCGGCGCTCGACCGTACACGCAGCCCAAGGCTTCTCAGCTGCAAAAGTTTCCATGATCAGGTCTCTGCAGGTTAATTACCCTCGTGCCTCCTGACAGCCGAGCAGCTCTCCCCAGAGGCTCCCTGCCACCTCCTCTTCCTCTGTTCCTCATTTACCTGAAGGGTGCAGGTGGTGTTGTGTTCAGTTCACCTCCCCCTCAGCCCTAAACGTCTGATTACCCAGCATTCCTGCCTCACACATAATCACGGCCATTTCCAATGCACACGCTAATGAGTCAACAGACTTCATCCAGAACCCGCTTAAACTATTCAGAGATAGCATTCTAGCATTAACGTTTATGCCAGACAGTGTGGATAGACATCAGTTCTGTTTATTGGCACCGCTCTTAAAACATCTTATGGCTCCAAACTAGATGACTGTGTCGTAATTGGATTTTTTCATTTTTATACCAAAATCCTACATTAAACAGACTTGCATTCTAATTAAAATCCCATTTAAACTTGGTAAACGCTACAAATATGTCCTCCGAAATGCTACAACAGATGTGGATTTGTAGTGTAAACACGCATAAAACCCTCATCCCGTTTATAAATATGCTAACAAATCAGACACATACTAAATGCATTGGGACAAATGACAATCGTTAACTGATGGACTGGAGTGCTGTGGATTATTGTGATGTTTTTATCAGCTCTCATTCTGACGGCACCCATTCACTTGCAGTGACACACTGATGCAATACTACATTTCTCCAAATCTGATGAAGAATCAAACTCATCCTGATCTCGGATGATCTGAGGATGAGCACATTTTCAGCAGGTATTTTCCATGTTAATCTGAGTTTTTGTCATAACCGGCCGCAACGGCGACACGCGGCAATTCTATTTTAGAAACGTTTTCAATTTTTCATCAACGTCGCGGCTGGAACAACACCACAGAGTATGGCAATGGTAATCTCAGGTACTGTTTATGTGCTTAAAGGGATCGTTCACCCAAAAATGAAAACTCTGTTATTAATTACTCACCCTCATGTTGTTCCAAACCCGTAAGACCATCGTTTATCTTCATAGACAGCGACGGATCTACCATGTTCAAGAAGGTAGTAAGGACATCGTTAAACGTGACTTTTTTTAATGCGCTTGGAGGAATGTATTCGCAAAATGCATTTCCATCCCCCATTATTCACATCAACCCTTTTTCGCACAAGTCAAAAACCACAAGCGAGCGTAAAAACTTTTTTGCAAATTAAGGGATTTTTATTTGAAATTTGGCGTTTCCA